CGGCAGGCCGAGCAGGCGAAGGGCTGACACCGGCGGGGACTGCTGCTGCGGCGGCACAACGGCGACACCGGGACCGCTAGCTGCTCCTCGGCTACCCCCAACACTCTCCACACCAGCACCCCCAGAGGGACCACCCCCAGGGCTACCGGGACGAGCACCCCCAGAGTCAGCGAACGGGTGCTGCGACGGCAGCGGCGGCGGCGGCGGCAACGTCGGCTGCAGCGGCGGCAGAAGCGGGGGAGGAGGGGACTGGGGAGGGGACGCCAGGGGAGGGGCGGCTGACGAGGACTGCACAGGAGGGCCACCAGAGTCAGAAGACTCCTCAACCGGGTCCACCGACGGAAGGGGGGTGACGTGGGACACACCAGAGGGGGCGGGACGGGGAGGAGGAGGAGGAGGGGCAGGGACTACCGGGGAAGGAGGGACCAGGAACAGGGGGGGAGTAACCGGGGGACCACGGTGGGGAAAGCGGCGGTAGTAGGAGACGGACTCGTCAAAGGTGACGTCACGAGAGTGAAAGAAGCGGTGAGACGGCGGGTGGTAAAAGTGCCAGTCGGACGCGTCAAGGGGAAAACCGTGGAAGACGCAGGGAAGGGTGCGGGCAGTGAGCTTGTCCGTGCCGGAGGCACGGACGTGAGCAAGACAGCCCCAGACGTGGAACGCAGACGCGTCACCAGGAGACCCAGTCCAAAGACGGGTCGGTGAAACCTGCGGCTGCTGAGGGTGCGGCCACAGGTTAAGCCGGTGAGAAGCGTAGCGCACAGCGAACGGCCACAGAAAATGGGGTGCACCGGCATGGATCATGGAGGTGCGAGCCACCTCCATGACCAAACCGATGCGTCGCTCAGCGACCCCATTCTGCTGTGGGGAGTCCGGTAGGGTGAACGTCTGGGTGATGCCCTCCGCACGACAAAAGCGACCAAGGACACCTGAGGCAAACTCGCCACCACGGTCTGAGTGAAGACGCAAGACAGGGAGACCGCGGTGGACACGCGCAGAGACAAGCCAGGGGATGAGAGCGCCAGGCACGTCGGCCTTGCGCTCCAGGGGAAAGACTGTGGTGTAGCGAGTGAAGTCGTCGACAAGCACAAGGAAGTAGCGCTCTCGACGCGGCCCAGGGACAGGGGCGGGGCCCCATACGTCCAGGTGCAGGGTCTGCAACGGCGCGGCGGTAGGGGGAAACGAGGAGGAGTGAGGGGCACGGCGAAGCCGACCCTCGACACAAGGCGTGCAAGGTGGGGCTGGGGAGGAGGGAAACGCAGGGAGAGAACCTGGGAGACCAAGGACAAGACCGTGCTGGGACATGTGACGCAGACGCGGGAGTGCAGCGTGACCTAGGCGGTGGTGCCAAAGGAGGGTCAGGTGAGTGAGGGACCGACAGGAGCAGGCGGCAGCAACCTGGGTGAGCGCTCCAGCCGGGGGGGTCACGGTGTCCAGAGTGAACAGGCCGGACACCGGGTCCCGGGGGAACGTGGACAGGGGGGCACCAGTGGCGGCCTCGGTACAGACAGCATACCGCTCGTGACCAGGGAACGTAGTGGTGACGCCAAGGTCCTGGAGGCAGCCGACACCAACTAGGTTCCTGGAGAACGAGGGGATATGCAGACCTGTAAGAGAGCCCGAAGGAACCGCCGGACAGGGAAGGGTGGTGGAACTGCGGGCAACTACCGGACCGCCAGAGGGGTCAGCGAGAGAAACGGCAGCAGGGACGGGAAGCGGCGTCAGGGTGGTGGAGTCGCGGAAGAAACACCGAGAAGCGCCATAGTCCAAGGTGAAGGAAAGCGAAGCAGAGGCGTCTGGCGACGGAACGACGGCGGAAGCACCAAGACTACACAAAGCAGAGGATCCTACGCCTGACGCAGCAGGGGAGGGTACACTAGGCACACCTACACTAGGCAACAGTGAGTAATAAGCGGGAAGCACACTAGAGTCATGAGCATACATCACATGCAGAGCAGAAACAATGGCATCCATGTCCATATCAAAGATCTGAATCTTACGACTAAGCAAACTGTGCCAGTCCGGGAGGTCTGGCGACGGGCCGAAGCGCTGACGAAAGAGGTCGTCCAGGCGACGAAAACAGCGGGGAGTGGAGTGACCGAGCTTACCGCAAACGAAGCCGCGGCGAGGACCGGTCTGGATCTGGTACTGACAGCGCCCGCCGCCATAGCTACCACTCGACACACCACCACGCGCCCGGCCACCGCCAGCGCCGGGCCACCCGGGCGGGAGGACACTCGTCTGCCGCGGCTGCGACGGCTGCGGCGGCTGCTGCGACGGCTGCGACTGCGGCGACTGCTGCGGCTGCTGCAACTGCAGGGGCGGCGGCTCAGCTGGACTGGGCAGGGTCCCCTCGTCCACTCCAGCACCAGACGACCCGACCCCACCACTACCCCCTCCCGCACCCCCGCCGCCGCCTCCGCCGCGCCCAACCTTGGGGCGGCGGCCCTTCCGCGAACGAAACTGCGCTGCAGCAGCAGTCTCAGCCACTGTGACAGAGCCGTCGGAGAAGGTACACTGGGCGGGGGCACAACCCTGAAAGATAGGGACAGGCACGACACCGCTCGCCTGGGCGATGGAGCGGTGACGGGTCTCTATGACAGTCAGGGTGTCTACAAAGTCAGTGAGGGTGAGGTCGGCAGGGTGAATGCTAAGGAAGCGGTCGCGGGCGACAGCAAGGCGGTCAGGGAGGCGGGTGGCAAGCAGGTAGAGGGTAGAGGTAATGGGCGGCTGGTGGGCTCTAAGCTGTGCGTCAGTGCAGGCGGCGCGCCAGGTCTCATCTACCGAGTGCAGGTGGGCAGCGAGGTCAGGGACAGTGGGGAAAGATGCAAGGTTAGGAAAGAGCATCGGGAGGATCAGGCGACCCACCGAGGCAGCCGGAGGGGTGGAATAGCGCTACGGGGCCCAGGAGGGGCGCGACGGGGCCTGGGAGGGGCGCGACGGGACCCAGGAGGGGCCCTACGGGACCCAGGAAGGGCGCTACGGGGCCCTGGAGGGGCGCGACGGGGCCTGGGAGGGGCGCGACGGGGCCCAGGAGGGGCGCTACGGGGCCTGGGAGGGGCGCGACGGGGCCCAGGAGGGGCGCTACGGGGCCTGGGAGGGGCGCGACGGGACCCAGGAGGGGCGCTATGGGGTCTGGGAGGGGCGCTACGGGGCCCAGGAGGGGCGCGACGGGGCCTGGGAGGGGCGCGGCGGGGCCCAGGAGGGGCGCTACGGAGCCCAGGAGGGGCGCGACGAGGCCCAGGAGGGGCGTTACGGGGCCTAGGAGGAGCGCGACGGGGCCCAAGAGGGGCGCTACAGGGCCCAGGAGGGGCGCGACGGGGCCTGGGTGGGGCGCGACGGGGCCCGGGAAGGGTCGCTACGGGGCCCAGGGAGGGGCGCGACGGGTCTAGGGGGGGGTCGCGACGGGGCTAGGGGGGCGAGCGGAAGCGGTAGGTGGGGGGGGGGGATCCTACCTACGCGTGATACCATATCAAAAATTGAAGAAGTGAGTAATGTTAGAGAGAGGGTACACGCAGATATACCTAAGTGTTGTACCCTCTAAGAGGCTACCCTATACAGTTTATACAAACATGACAAATACACATGTTTGACAGTTTCTCCCATGAATTAAAGTAACATTCCTAATGGTTAGCCTCAAGTGCGGTGTAATGCATATTGGATGCTCACCATCCCGAACACATATGCTACTGGGTATGCGCATAAACAGCTCCGCTCTGTGGATCGAATCGTCATTCAAGGTGTGGTGCCTTGGGCTGTGCAACCCGACTGAGTTGTGTAAACTGGTATGGTTACGCGTTTCGCGATCGTTTCTGACGTTTCTTCGCAAACATTTCTCCAGGCAAAAACTTCGTGAAAACCGCAATCGTTTTCGCAGTTCTGGGGTTGCGCAACCCTGGGATTGTTATGAATAATAACTGAGAGTGCGCGGAATAATAATGACGAGTACAAGAAAGATAGCCTAGCATTATATAGCGAGTGCTCTAGCTAGGCGACGAGCCCGGAGGGCTAGGTTGGGTACAGGCGCGGTCGAAAGGTTCGGAGGCGGCGCGGGCGTGCCTCGGGGTCGCGTCAGAAACGGACCGAGCCTGGTCTTCCGAGAGTTCGGGTGTACGCGATTGCAGTACAACCCGGTAAGGAATAAAATTCCTTACAAGGATCCACGGCTTCATTGTCCATTGTGCCATTCCAAGGTGCATTGCGTGCCAAAGTTCTTGGATAGATCAGTTGTCCAATAGGAGCTATTTTCCCAGCTGCCGGGACATGTCTCACAGGCTGGAGAAAATACAGCCACGTCAGGCGGTCGCCGCGTGTGGCTTCTTCAGCAGCACTGAACTCCCATGTGATCTGCCAGCACTGCGTTTTGGGTAAAAGCAGCGTGTTACACTGGGCCGCAAGGGCAGCGCAGAAAGTGCTCCACCTGTCCCAGGCGAGGATCTTTTGCGCAGCTGGCGTCTCTGAGCTACTTCCATTTGTGTGAACAAGATCGAGCCGCACTTGCCTTGCCCTACCGAGCGCGATCCGTCACGGCCGTTGCTGACCTCTCACTCTCATCCTCTCACGAACCTGCGGATAACACTCCCGTCTTCGTCTCCCTTGGGGATCTCCCCCAAGACTCTGGGAGTATTCCTGGGATGGCTGGAGCGGGGGAGACTGAGCCTGCTTCGGGCGGTGCTACAGTGACGAATATTTGCAAACGGGTCACTCACACGGGTGTTCCGAGCTTCCCCTCCCCCAATCACACCAGCTGTCTGCGCAAGGTGCACCGTTGATTGCCGTCGTGGCCTGTCCCCCTGGTGTGTGCCCAATGTGCGACGGCCAACGCAGCAGCGCAGCAGCGGGAACGGACCAGAGCGGGGGAAAGTGGGTCGTGCTGGCGGAGCGGAGGGGTGCGGGGGAAGCGTGCCTGACCGGACCAGCAGCCAGCAAGCAGCGAGAATTTCGACATGATACAAAGCCAAGTCCAGACAACCTCGGGATCTACAATACAGCTCAACTCAACGCCCTCACCTCCGCCTTCCCAGCTCGCAGGAACCCTTTAGCGACCAGGTCTAGCTCCCAGCAGCATACCCACGTGGTTACTAACCTGTCCACACTAAGTGTTTAGCCACCTTTCCCGCCGGAATTGAACGTTCTCTAATCACTGCTGCCTCTGGATATTCAACCATGGCGACACTGATTTCGAGAGCGTGCACTATGCAGATGCCAATTCGCCATTCAGAATTAACCTCAATTCGGCAAGCCCGTGCTTCCCTGACGTCCTCGTTCCTCCCAAAGCTCCACTTCAATCCCCTGGCCACCTTGCAGTGTCGCAAGCCTCACAGTCACCATGCGCGTCGCGCTGCTCCCACATGCGCGGTGCGAGCGGACTCCAGCAACAAGGAGCAAGTGCGGTGCAACGCCATCGGAATGCTCACGCCAGAGCCTTATGTCGACGACAGGAATACTTTCCTCGATGACGTTCAAGACACGGTCCTTAGAGCCCCTGCTGCCGCGTCGAATTGGATCAAGTCCAAGATTTCCCCTCGAGTTCGCGGACTCGCGCTGCTCAATCTGCTCACCTTTCTATACGGTGAGCCCTTTTCCCTTTTTCCACGGGAATTGGCGACGCCTTGGACGATCCACTGGGGTTCGCGGGGAATTGATGCCAGCGTGCTCCCTTTCCCTCTGATTTCACGACGCTCGCTGCCAGGAGCATCGTCCCTCACAATTACGCCATGTTGATTGAGCTGCTCTTTCCCGCTCCACATCCGACCCGTCCCGTGCCCTCCCGCTCTCAGGTTCCAACCTATCAGTGATCAAGGAGGGCCAATTAGCGCTGGACGCGTTCAGCTTCTCCATCGGCCGCTTCGCCATCGCAGCGCTCGCCTTCGCGCCGTTCCTTCGCAAGGCTCTCGACAACCCCGCGGCACGGCGAGCGGGTCTGGAGCTGGGCGTGTGGGCCAGCGCGGGGTACGTCGCTCAGGCCGTCGGGCTGCAGACCACAGAGGCGGGCCGAGCGGCGTTCATCGGCACGTTCACGGTATGCGCGACAGGGCCCCGTAATTGTGCGGAATCGCACAATTTTCGCACAGCTGCTGCTGCTAGTCTCTCCGTTCGCGAAAGTCCGGCTTCTTGTTCTTCCGTTAATAATTCCCTGGAGTGTCTGTACCGCTTGTTCTGTTATTAATGTCTTCAGCTTGTCCAACCTGATCGATCGATAGCAATTGGTCGCGTTTCACGTGTCATGCTAGCTCGTATTCTCCAGCCTTTCTGACGTGCCTTGTATCCCCCCTTTGAACTCACGACCACGTGCAGGTCATTGAAGTTCCGCTGATTGCGGGCCTTGTGTTCGGAGCTAAGATCCCCTACATCACGTGGGCTTCTGCCGCTGCTGCCGTCGTCGGCGTCGCTCTGCTGGAAACCGGCGCATCCGACTCTTCCCTCGTAAGTCGACTCGTTTTATTCAGCAATCCGGTATCTACGTCATTCCACTGCACCTTACCTGCCTCGTACTCCCCCACCCCCACACAAATGTTCATCTAAGCATCAATCATCATCGCTCCTCCCCCTCTCGTTCCCCCCGTTGATTACAGCTGGGCGAGATGTGGACCATCGCGAGCGCGCTGCTCTTCGGCATCCACATGCTGCGGTCGGAGCACCACACGCGCCACGTGGACCCCTCCAACGCCATCCCGCTCATCTCGCTGCAGCTCTCCGTCACCGCCGTGCTCTCCATCGCGTGGATGCTGCTCCTCAACTTCAGCGGCGTGCCCATCCCGGGCCTCAATTCCCTGCTCGCGTGTGATTGGGGCGCCATCCAGGCGTGGCCGTGGTGGCAGATGGCGTACACGGGCGTGCTCTCCACCGCCTTCTGCCTCTGGGTCGAGGTCGTCGCGCTCAGAGACGTCACGGCGGCGGAGGCCGCCATGGTCTACACGCTCGAGCCGCTCTGGGGCGCCGCGTTCGCGTGGGTCCTGCTGAACGAGCGGTGGGGCGCCGTTGGCTGGGTCGGCGCGGCCCTGATTCTTGGTAAGTCGCCGCGTCTTTGCCTTCCCTTGCACTGCCTTGGTCTTCCCCTGCACCGCCATTGTCAATGCTCCCCTTCTCACCTCTTTCCTCGCCCTGCTATCTTCTCTGTTGTTCCCCTCTTCCCTTGAGCAGCCGGCAGTCTGACAATGCAGCTGTTCGGAAAGATGGAGGAGCCTGAGAAGGAGGGGGAGGATGGCTCTCCGATGCCGCTGATGTCAGCACTGGGAGTGGCGGCAACCATGGCGCTGCTCATGGCCCTCACTGCTGACGTGGACGAGGCTGCTGCAGGCCAGATGCTGCTGCCGGAGGGGCGGACAGGAGAGAGCCAAGTAGAGATGCTGCTAGAGGCCAAGGAATTGTGAGGTGCTGCCTACGGTTCATCATGTCAAAACTCAGCTCCGGGTGAATTGTCGGAAGGGTGACTGATGCGGACTCCAGGAAGGGAGTGAATACTAGTTCTGAAGGGAGGGAAGAGGTGCGTCAGGAGCGGTTTGGAAGCAGTGTAGCATAGACGACGCACGTTGGCGACGTGAGCAGCTGTTTTGTGTCAGCCCAACATTGTTCGTGAATGGCAACCTCGGCCGTGCGGCTGCGGTGACCTGGATGGGTTTGGATCCAGGCGTTCGGCTTCGTGCACCGATTTGTGCACACACACACCCCTCAGCTGCCAGCAGTTTTCCCGTCTTCGCTGGGAGCAGAGAATTGCAGTGAATGAGGAGTTGCGTGGTGGAGTGGGAGGTTCCTCCACGGACTTCTGCTGCTGCATAAATTTTGTCCCTCTGACCAGGGAATCAGTTTTGTAACATGCGATGAATTCGCAGCAACGATTAACACGGGCTTCTCAGCTGCAGGAGATGAGCATACTAGTAAGGTAGGACTACAGGTTGTTGCAACCATTAGAGCTAATGCCTCTTCTTTCTATGATTCACTTCTATGTGTAAGTCACCGGACAATGTTCTTTTGATGCTAATAATTTTTACCTAAACTCAACTTGATTCTAATAGTGGCTGCAGTTTCATTTTCATACCAGTACACAAGAATCCATCAGCTGTAACTTAATGCGAGCTTCACTACTCATCTATTCCCAAATCTTTGCAGTCTCAACTCTCTAAGCTCATCTGCATTGAGCTGCCCTTGCCTCCATCGGGGATGCTGTGGTTGCTGGGGCTCCCTTCCACTACCCTGCCCCTCTTCCTCCACCTCTGGAAACATAGGGGCCGAAACAGTGGTGTCCCCTCCACGCCCACCATGCATCCACCCTCCTCCCGTCTCCCTCGCCCCCTCTGGCCGTGGTCCCTCGCACATGGTACAGCGAACAGCCTGCCATGGATTATCATAAGTGCATGCGGGGCACCTCCACACTCCTCCAGCACCTGCTGCTGCTGACCCTTCCCTGCTAGGCCCTTCTCTTCCTCCCAATCCTGCCCTCCGCCCCCTGCCCACCACTGCAGCTGGCCCCCCGATGCCAGCCCGCCCTGACTGCCCCGACCCCCAGATTCGCCCTCGGGGGTTGCGCAGGAACGGGAAGAGAGTGAGCAGCGGAGCAGCAAGTGCAGAGAGGACGGCGGAGGAGCGAAACGAGGAGGGCAGGAAGGAAGGCCCATGGAGGTAGATGAGCCCAGCTAGGATCCCGCACAGATGGCCGAGGAAAGAGGCCTCCGGCACCAGCAGCTGGATCAGCAGCAGCTCTGCCCATGCTGCATACTTGGTTGGCAGGACGAAACCGTACACGGACGAGTGGGTGGGCGAATCAGCGTTCATGACGGTCTTAAGAGCGAAGAGGACTCCTGAGAACCCCACGGAACATTCTATGTAGAAGGGCGTGTGGACGGCGAGCACGTCTGACAGCAGGCGCGCAGCAGCTACGTGCAGGGCTTGAGAGAACAGCGCGAAGGCGGCGACGAGGGCGGCGAAGCGAGGAGAGCCATGGCGGCGCTCGAGGTGGACGCCCTTCCAGAGGAACGAGACCATGTTGAAGATCAGATGCGCGTCATCCGCGTGGAACAGCACGCTCAGCAGCAACCGCCGCCAGTTGCGCTCCTGAGGAGGGCGGGGGATGGAACACGAAAGAGGAAGAGGAGGTGTGAGAGGCGGTTCGCGGGACAAGAGCAGTGCGAGTGGGCAGAAAACGGGGACGTCACGGAGGAAAGTCCAGTCAAGACCCGCGGAACGAGATTGTTTCAGAAACTTGCGCGAGAGATGGGTTTCATAGGCTTGGTATATCGGATAATTAACTCACCTGGACGACAAGAGCGGGATTCATGCAGATCTCTGACACGTGCGGAAGGCCGTCCTCGAGAAAACCCGCGGGCCGAAAGTGGATTCCCGCCATTAGCGCGATGAGCGCGAGGGTGACCGGCGGGGAGTACGGCTGCTGGAAAAATTGATGCAGCGCCTGCAGCGCCATGACGTAGACGTATACCGGCGCACCCGCTCCGCGCCGGGACGATACCCTCCGCGACCACTGCGTGCGATACATGGCGAGGTCAGATGACTCGGGGAACTAAAGACACGAGGCTAGGACGCACGTGGAGCCAGGAGACGTGATGATGACCGAGTAGAAGCCGCAAAATCCTTAAGAAGGCGACGGTATTACGAGATCGGTCACGCGTAGACTACGAGCACTAATGAATGCAACTCTCGCGGAGACACTTCAGAGCATTATCCTATTATTGAAGAGTGAGCATTATCAACCTTCAGGGCAGGATCCTATTCATCCAAAGAGCGCTGAGCGAAATAGAGGGATTGTACGGTAACCACACTGCGACGGAATTTCTCAGGCATTCTGGTCACTCGCCCCGGCAAATGCTGGCGATAGACTCTTGCGACGGTATACGCCTGGGAAATTGACCAATAAGAGAACACGAACAATGTGGAAGTGTCGGAAGTGGGTCGCGAGAGTCCGAGGAGCCTCGAGAGTGTTCGTACGCTGGATCATTCGCGAATGGAACTGAGTACAATAATCAGTCAATACTACCTGTAAATTTTACTTCCATAAGAACCTCCTCAAGCTCATTCATAAATACATGTCAAGTTCCATAAGATCACCTGCAGGATTGTCGCCATTGTACGGTATTTCAACTGATTGTCGCCATGGTTGGCACGAACACCACGGTGGTAGAAATGCACTGCTGCCAATGGAGAATAGACAACTGCCACCAGTACCATGGCACTCATCGCCTCCAGTCCCCATCAACCTTATCCGGGCCGTACAGCAGACCAAGCGAACCCACCCGCATCCTTACACCTGGTACAGTGCGAGCCCCAAAATTGAAGATACCTATCACCAGCAAATACTGAAGCACTTAACCACGCCTCACATCTGCACACCACTCCGCTCTGCTAATCCACCTACAGACGCCACCTCACTTCACGACATGCTCCAGTCGCCACTGTTCTGCTTGCGCCCCAGGCCCTTGGGAGCATGAGGCGGCAAGGGACCGCTGCGAGAACCAGCCATGCTGCCCACCACATCCCCCCCACCTCCTCCCATGCTGTAAGCCATGCCGTACCCTGTGTTCGGTGACCCCCCTCCCCCTCCGCCTCCTCTCCCTTCATGGTGCATTTGTGGACTGCCTCCTCCTCCTGGCGACCCCCCTCCCATCCCCGTGCCACCCTCACCACCATCGCCCCCTGCTGCCGCAGCAGCAGCGGCGGCAGCTGCAGCAACAGCAGCGGCCGCATGGTGGCTGGACCCCCTGCGCGATGGCAAAAAGCCCTTCCAGGAATTCGAACGATTCAAATTGCGCGCCGCTGCCGCTGCCGCTGCCGCCGCTGCTGCTGCTTGGTTGTAAGGAACAGCACCTGGCCCCCCTCCATGGTACCCCTGCCCCTGCGCTTGCCCTTGCCCCTGTGCCTGCCCCTGCCCCTGCCCTTGGCCTGATGCAAGGCGGTGGTCAGGGGGGGAGTACGGATAGGGGCCTGATGACGGTGACAGATGCGCTCCAGGGGGAGACGGGCGGTTGCCGAAGCTGTAGTGCCCCTGCATGCCCCGACCTGTGTTCGCTCCCCCTCCTCCCCCAGACGCGGAGGGATCGAGGGAGGTCGACGCGCGGTGCGTGGGCGATGTCACAGACCGCATCAGGGGAGGCGTCGCCATGCCCACTCCCCCACTCCCCATGCCCGATTCCCCTGGGCTTCTCCCTGCGCCCACCCCTTGCGTGTGCATGGGGCTGTGTGGCCGCATCCCCCCTCCCGGCCCTCCCCCCCCTGCAGCATCGATGGCCCGTTGCGCCTCTACCTGCATCCTCAGGTCGTTACTCCCAAGCCTCACCGGCAGGCTCTGCTGCCGGATCTCAAACGTCCGCATGCCGGACCCGTTCCCCCCGCCCCCGCCATGCCCACCCGCACCATACCCCCCCCCCACATGCCCGTGCCCATGCCCATGCACATGCCCAGGGGCCGGCCCCACAGGCGTAAGCGAGGGCGTGCTCCAGTCAGAATACACCGACCCTGTTTCATCATAATCCGACGCCGCGTCAAACGCGCTGTCCGGGATGTGCAGGCTGAAGTCCAGGTGGCGCTCCCTCATTTGCTGCGGCGGGTGCTCGTCCACACGCGCAGGGAGCGGCTGGTCGTGCGGGTTCTCGTCGGGGTGGTGTGCGAGGTAGTCGGCGTGCAGCACGTCCAGGATGCGCGTGCGCACGCTGGACGCCACGCCCTCCAGCACACGCGAGTAGCTCTCCAGCACCGCCTTGCCCACGTCCTGAGGAGGGGTGGGGGGAATGCGAGAGTGGCGTTGGTGGTCGGGGCACAGGGGGAAGGAGAGGAGCAAGGATAGGAGGGTGAGCGAACCAGGTGAAATGCGAACGGAAATCACATGGCAAGGGGCAAGAAAAATCCAATCCAGCAAGGCAAGGTAGGCGATGGTGGAGGCAGCAGCAGGCACGGCAGTGATGTACTGATGGACGGACCGTGTTGTAGAGGATCTTGGAGGTGTCGAGCGTGGTCTGCGGCAGCGAGGGGCAGCGGTCCTTGATGCTGCGCAGACACGCCTCCGCACGGCTCGCGTTCTCCTCAAACTTGGACACGTCCCGCCCCAACGGGCCCGAGCTCGAATAGTGCCCACTCGTCGAGTGCGTCAGCTGGGGGGATCTGCGGGGGGGGGAGGGAAGGGGGTGTGGAAGATAGGAGGAAAAGGAGGACGGGCAAGTGGCAGGAGGGTGAGGGTGGCAGGTAGGTTGTTAACAGTGCATGACCAGTGGAAGAAACACAGTCTGGAAAGGGGAGAACACAAACAGTCTGGGAAGGGAAGAAACACAGTCTAGCAGGAAGAGGAATCCGACGAAAAGGCAAAGCACAGCGCACCTGGTGGGCGGGGGCGGGGCCATTTTGCGCCAGTGGTAGACGGCGGCTTCGAGGCGGCAGGCGAGCTTGAGCGCGGCGTGCTCGTTGGTGAGGTCGACGGTGTCGAGCACGCGGTCCACGCTGAAGCTGCTGCTCATTATCACCGAGTAGATCTGGTCGCCCAGCGCCGCCCGCCCCGACTGGTGCGGTGGCAGTGACCGCAAGCGAGGAGGGGAGAGAAGAGGGAGAAGAGTGAGAAGAGGGAGAAGAGGGAGAAGGAGGAGAGTGGGGAGTGGGGACACGAGTAGAGGGTGAACCAGGGAGGGTTAGGGAGAGGGGGGGGGGTTCCGGGAGGGGGAAGATATGAGCCGGTTGGGAGAGGTGAAGGTCATGGCCGAGACAAGGACGACCAGGCAAGAAAACGATTGTGAAAACCAAGAAAGGGAGGGAAAAGAAAGGAGGAAGGAGAGAAAGGAAGAAAGAAAGGGAGGAAGAAAGGCAGGAAGAACCAAAAGGCTCAGATCCAGACCCCCCGTTGTCCCCCGTACCTTGGGCAGGTTGTCCGTGTAAGCAGCGGGCACGGCCATGTCCTCAAGCGCCTGTGTGTTAATAGCCATGGCGAGCTTGACGATCTGCGCGGCCTTCTCCATCTGGTGCTCCAGGTGCTTCCTCAGCGCCTCGCTCAGCCCACACACCGGCACACGCGGCACCGGCCGCCACCACTTGCCCGTCTTCGACTCCCGCATCACCCCCCCTCCGCCTCCACCTCCTCCTCCCCCTCCCCCCCGGCCTTTCGACCCCTTTTTCGACCCCCCTCCTCCCCCGTACCCGTCGTCGTCGTCCGCGTCCGCCATGCAGTCTGCGCACGCGCACCCGTCGCGGTGCCGCGGGTTGCGGCGCGAGGAGGAGCCAGAGGACCTGTGCGCGTCCACTGCGCCGTTGGCGACGGGGTCGGGGCGCTCCTGCGTGTACCAGTACTCCTGGCTGTTGCACTCGTCCAACATCTCCTGATAAAGAGGGGGGGGGGGGGAGGGTTTTGGGGGGTGGGGGTGGGGGGGAGTGAGAGGGTTGGCGCAGGAGGAGAGTGGAGAGAGCGGGGAGGGGGAGAGAGAGCGAGAGACCAAGGATGGGGGCGGTGGGGAGGAAATGGCATAGGTGCAATGAAGCCCCCGGTGCACACTGAGTGGGTGCCAGACTGACCCACATTACTGCATGCACTCAGGAGCCAGTCACGGCACTAAAGCACATCTCCCACCCTCGGATATCCCTCTGCACCCCCCAATAGTATCCCCCTCATGACCCCCTGACCCCTGCCCCCGCGCGCTCACCGCCCTCCCCCCGCGCGCGCTCACCAGCAGCATGTCGTCTAGTTTCCGCAGGGCGGGCAGCTGCTGCCGCAGGTCGTCGCGCTGCTTCGTCACCATCACCTGCGGGCCACCACGACGCGCGGCAACAGCGGGGGTGGGGCAACAGCGGGGGTGGGGCAACAGCGGGGGTGGGGCAACAGCAGGGGTGGGGCAACAGCAGGGGTGGGGCAACAGCAGGGGTGGGGCAACAGTGGGGTTGGGGCAAAAGCGGGGTTGGGACAGGGGCGGCGGCGGAGGGACAGGGGCGGTGGAAGGAACAATGGACGCATGCTACGTTATGGGTCATGCTGGGCTGGCATGCGAAGGAGATCTTGATCACTTTTTGTCAACTATCCCGTGTCACGGACAGTGAGCGAGTGAGCGAACGAGCGAGTGCGCGAGTGAGTGAGTGCGCGAGCGAGCGAGCGAGCGGCAGACGGACCTCCTGCGAGGAGCCGTCGGGCATGGTTTGGGACTGCGGCACGAGCTCGACGATGTGCTGGCACACGGACAGCATGATCCCCATCTCCATGCGCCACCGCCGCTTGCAGTCCGCCGACAGCGGCCGCAGCCGCATGCCCTCGCCAAACAGCGACACTGCGCGGGGCAACACGGACACGGGGCAGGGGTGGCACGGAGCAAGGAAGGCACGGGGCAATGGGGACGAGCGGCGGGATGGGTGGGGGGAAGGGGGAAGGGGGGAGGGGGTGGGGGGGAGGCGGAGGGCTTCGCTTGAGGCGTCTCAATAGCACAAGGGGAGGGGTTTGAATGAGAAGGGCAACGGGGTGGGCGTTAGGGTGTGGAAGCACGGGGTATGCGGGATAAGGCGTGCTCATCAGGCCGGATCGTAGGGCGATACACCGCGAGTAAAGGCGACGGGAGGTGATTGGTAGCGTGTAGTAGACGAGTCAAGGCACGATGGCATGGCACGATGGCATGGCACGATGGCATGGCACGATGGCATGGCACGATGGCATGGCACGATGGCATGGCACGAGGGCATGGCACGATGGCATGGCACGAGGGCATGGCACGATGGCATGGCACGAGGGCATGGCACGATGGCATGGCACGAGGGCATGGCACGATGGCATGGCACGAGGGCATGGCACGAGGGCATGGCACGATGGCATGGCATGAGTGTAGGCACGAGCGGGAACATGGCATGGTTATCCTCCGAGCCAAGTTAGAAAGGAGACGGAGGGAAGGGGGGGGGGGGGGGAGGGAGGGTAAGGCAGATACCTGAGAGGCGGCACGTTCGCACCTGAGAGGTTGGTGATGGCGTTGGACATGGCGAGCGCGGGGCACACGCCCTTGGAGCCGCCCGACATGTCCTCGCCCAGTAGCAGCTTCGCGAAGCGCTCCTTCATCATCCGCAGCTCTGCACGGCGCGGGAGCGACGCCACGGGGAGAAGGAGAACAAGGGTAAGAACGCTGATGGCAGCGGCAGGAGAGACGAAGCTCTGGAAACGAGAGCGAAATGGCAGGGTCGGAGCGCCGGTACGAGCGCATAGCTTCGGCCCAATGGGGAAACGGCTTGCTAGTGTCGACTGTCGACTCGCTGTCGCGCTAATTCGCCAGCACCTTTCGTAAACGGATCTTTTGACACGGCTATGCTACACCCCGCGACCTCTCTGACAACTCCTTATAACCGCACTGCGCCGAAGGTCAACCCCTACAACTCCAGTAAACAGCGCCCGTCATTGTATCCGCACGGACCTTGCATGTCAACGGGTTCTGGTGCTGGTTGCGGGGTTGCCGCTCCCGCCGCCGCCATTTCGTTTGCGCCGCTGGCGGCCTCCCCCGTCTGCTGATTTCCGTACCGCGGCATCAGCGCGCCCTTGCGCAAGGGACGGCCCGTGGAGGAGAGGTGTGCGGCTGCGACGAATCCACGATGCTCGTTTTACCTCACGATCGGGTGAAATCTTATGGAGACAAACTAAGACGCGACTAAGAAGCGACTAGGACGAGGCTAGCGCAATGCCGGGACACAAACTAGGGTTCGCGATGCTTTACTTTGCCCAGCCAACGGGCACAAAAACTAGGGTTCGCCATGGAGTCAAGCTTGAGGTAGAACTTATGCACACAGAACGTTGGCCGTTGGGTCAACCATAGATAGTATAGTATAGGACGTTCACGAAGGACGAGGTTTCATGATTCTAGGTGCAGTACAGTAATGGCGAGTCGACCAGGCAGCATTGACGGGCTACACGAAGTACAGGAGGGAATGGTGACAGGAGAACCAACTGCGAGGTGATGCACACAGGTACGAGTACACCACCTGTGCTAACAAATACGCGAACTTGCTGCTGCGCTGCTAGATGCTTCTGGAGGAACACCGCGATGATGCGCGCAACGCTTGGCAGGCGGGAGGGACAGGCTTGGCGCGGAGGCGGAGGGCAGACGAGGTTTGGGTGCGGCGGAATGGGGGCAGCGGAGGGGTTTAGGCGCGCGGGAAAATCTCGAGCGACACGGAGGGCGGAATTCAGGGTGGTTTGGGGAAGGTTGGGGTTTGGTGAGAATGGAAAATGGCGAAACTGCAACAGAGGTTGGTGGCTAGTGGGCTGTGATGGTTGTTGGGTAATCACCCGAAGTTCTTCCGAATTCTGGAGCTGAGTTGACTTTATCGAATACATAATCACCTTGCACAACATTTTTATGCTGACTTCTACAGTTGGAGCTCCGATATTGTGACTTCCCAGCTTATTCTGTAGGGAGCAGTCGTTCACGTTCTAGACTTCGCATGACACAGTTTCGTCATCGCCATTCCCAAGGCTGACATCTGTGAGTGCTGCCACAAGAGCATCTGAGAGTCTTGGCTCCAATGGCTAGTTGCAGTAGCGAAGATTTCCTGCCAGAAGGCGAAACGCGGAGGGGAGAAGGCTGTGAACCACCCGCGCTTAGAGGCTCGGCTTTGGTCGGAAGCGCGAGCACTATCACCATGGGCGGAGAAGGGGAGGCCTCGCGGACGAATAGCGCGGCGGAAGCTAGAGTGACCTCCCTGCGGAGTGGGGAACGGGACGCGGAAGCCAGCCAATCAGCGGGAGCCTCATTAATGTTAGATGGGCAGGCCAGTTGTTCAGAACAGAATGATTTTGCCGCCAGCCGAAACCGTGGTGACGACGATGTTGAGCTAGAGATAAGAAGCGATTCCATGGCGCTAGATGATGGCGCGCGGGCGGAACTACGTTGCGGGGAAGCGGAATCAAGCGATGGGGGACGGGGGACGGCGGAGTGCGCGGAGAAGCGGAATGGCGGGGAAGGCGGGGAAAGCGCGGAGGAGAAGAGGGGAGGTTCGAGTGAACACGACGTTAGCGATGAGCTCAAGGAAGGGGAGGGGGCGGAAGCGGAGTCAGGAAGCAGCCCGCGCGGAAGCGCGGAAGGCGGGGGGAGAGAAGGGGGGGTTGTTGAAACGGGCGGTGGGGGGGGAGAAACGCCAGGAGCGGAGGGTGGGGGGAGTGAGAGAGACGATGAGCGTGGGAGGGGGGACGGCGGTGAAAGGGGAGACGCGAGTGGGAGTGGTGATGGTGATGGTGGTGGTGATGATTCGATGGACAACCGTGGTCTGAAAGACCCTGGGAGCAGCAGCAGCAGCAGCAACACCAGCAGCACCGTCACCAGCACCATCAGCACCATCAGCAGCAGCAGCAGCACCACCACCACCACTACCGCCAGCAGCAGCAGCAGTGAGAAGGGCATGGCACTGCAGTCGTTGGGAATGGGCATGGGCTTCTTGAGCAGCTCGCTCAACAAGGCCGCCAAGGCCGTGCAGACGCGCGCCCGCCACCTCGTCGCCCACAACCACCGCCGCTTCCAGGTGGGCGCATGAGAAAAGTGAATGGGAATATGGGACAACAATGCCCGGTCATGTGGCGCTGCTTCTGCCCTCTGTCCTCGTGCTCAACGTCGTCCTTTTCCTCACCAACTCCCACCATCCATCCCCGAGTCTCTGTTGCATCCCATCATCGGCCCCGGCACCATGCCCTTACCCTCCCTCTTCACGCCATGTTCACCTGGCTCCCTGCTGTGCCCATGCCCATGCCCATGCCCATGCCCATGCCCATGCCCATGCATGCGTTGCGTGCAGGCGGACGGCTTTGACCTGGATCTGACGTACGTCACAGACAGCATCATCGCCATGGGCTTCCCTGGAGGCGACCCCAGCTTCGGCCTGCTGGGCTTCGTCGAGGTGCGTGGGGGGGCATGGTGGTGCCGATGGTGCATGGTGGCTGTGGTGCATGGTAGCTGCTCAGTGGTGCTCTTGACTTATCCAGTTCTGCATGCGTTTGTGCACATGCATGTGCTCACACGTGTGTGTGCATGTACACACGGCCTTGCTACAGGGGCTGTACCGCAACCACATGGAGGACGTGATTCGCTTCCTGGAGTCGCGGCACAGCGGGCGCTACAAGGTCTACAACCTCTGCTCCGAGCGCCTCTACGACGCCGACAGGTTCCACGGCACCGTAAGCACCAGAGAGGGGGTGGGGAACACATGGCTGCCCTGCAGTGTGTGCGTGAGGAGGGAGTGGGGAGTGGGGATGGGGGGAGTGGGGGTGTGCACTGTCGTTGGGTGTTGTGCCCTCTAACATTCAGCTTCTCACCCTCTGCTGAACTGTTTTACTGGCTCCTCCTGTCTCGTTTTTCCCGCCCCACCCATCTTTCTCCTCCATCTGCCGCCCCTCTCTCTCTGTCACCCCCCCTCCTCGATCTTCTCACCACCCCATCTCAACCCCCCCTCAGGTGGCATGTTTTCCCTTTGACGACGGAACGTGCCCCCCTCTCGCGCTCACCCTCGCCCTCTGTGAGAGCGCCAAGGGGTGGCTGGCTGCTGGAAGAAGGGCCGGCGCAGCAGCAGCAGCAGCAGCAGCAGCCAGGGGGGCAGTGCAGGGAGGGGAGGCAGGCAGCAGTAGCATGACCACCACCAGCAGCAACAGCGGCAGCGGCAGCGGAGGGGGCAACGTGGTGGTGGTGCACTGCAAGGCGGGCATGGGGCGCACAGGCCTTGTGGTGGCGTGCCTGCTGCTCGCACTCAAGGTGACGCGTCTGGGGGGAAGCGGGGCGCGGACAGAGATGGTGCGAGGGCAATAGGCTGTGTGTACCCTGTGCGGCGTGTATGCATGGGCCTCTCTATGTCAGTTGCATGATCTCCTTCATGCTCTGCTGCACATGCCCTCTCCTACGTGACCGCAAACGCGTTTAGCGTTTTAAACGAAGCGTTTAAACGCTAGCGTTTAAACGCTAAACGCGCCTTCTTGGGTTTCTAAACGCTAGGATAAACGCTCGTTCGGGCAGCCATAAAATTTCCCCCGGGCAGGGGAAAAAAACCTGGGATCGGTGGGGGGAGGAAAGGGGATTATGGTATACAACATATTTACTCCAATATCGTGATTAGTCTGGCTCGTAAATATTAGATGCTGCAGACGCTGTAGGATTAGCGTCTGCAGCATTAGGGGGGGTCGACATGGGCGTGGGCCCTTATCTTAGCGCGGAATTAGGTGGCCAGGGTGGGAGGTGAGAGAATAGCGACTGGATCTGAGCTACGGCTATCTGGGTTCCCATTTTTTACGGGGAAGAGATTGTGACGGAAGGAGGGGAGAAAGTGGTTAGGTTGGAGTGAAAGTCGTTGATGAACAGGGTGCTGTGCGGTTGAGAGGGGCAAAAGGGTTGGATGCCTTTTTTGGTCGTTAGGTTGGGATTTGCGACTTGGCAAATGTCTGGTTGAACTCGCCAAGTCGCAATGTCACGGAAAAAAATTGATCGATTTTTTGGCCGGGCTGCCCCTAAAATTTTGCCCGAGCGTTTAGCGTTTACGCGAGCGTTTTGCGTTTAGCGTTTAAACGCAGCGTTTAAACGCTAAACGCTGCCCTGCCAGAGCGTTTGCGGTCACATAGGCCCTCTCTACCCCCGTTCCGTCATTCCCCCCCCCCCCCGAGCGGCCAAGCCCTCACTCTCCCCATCCCTGCACTGACCCATACCGTCTCTCCCCCCATGCGTACGGTATGGCGCGGCACCACAGGAGTGCAGCACAGCAGCGGAGTCCATAACTCTGTTTCGGGACAAGAGAAGCGTGGATGGCAAGGCCCTCACCTCGCCCAGCCAGCAGGTCGTCATGCCCCTGTGCTCTGCTCTACCCCCCATATACTCTGTCCCATGGGCCCCTGCTCGAACTCCTGTGCCCTGATTCCCATGCCCCTACTCCGTTCCCCTGCCTTATGCTGCCACCGTTCGCCCCAGTTTCTCGCATTCTACCCCGTGCAGTACGGTGTGGTGTGGTTCTCACTCAACTCGCCCTCCTCGCACCTTCCTCTGTCAATCGCCCCGCCCACTCCGTCTTCCCTCGCCTCATCCCTCCCTCCACTCCACCCCTCCACCCACCAACCCATACTCCTCCCATCAGCGCCACGTGGCATACTACGAGGCCCTCCTCCGGGCCTCCTCTGCCCCCGCTCCCTCACTGCCCCCCCAGCGGTACGCTGTTTGCTGCTCCATGCAACTTGCCGTTCTCGCATCCTTCCCCCCTTCCTCACTGCGCGTCTCTCTGACTCATTCCCCCTCATGTGAACCCCTCCTCACTGTGCATGTGATGACTTTTGAGTCGACTCAAAAGTCATGTTCGTTCGTCCCTGCATCTGCTAGAGGGGTCTCAATCCAGCCACCTGATCCTGTTTGAGGCATCTCAAGACTTAGTCTCCCCTGATCATTGTTTGTCCTTCCCTTCCCTTCACCTGCGTTGTTCAAGACCCCTTGTCCTGCGGGGCATTCGCCTGCACCGCTGCCCCTACTGGATCCGACCAGCCATCACAGTGACCTCCCACTCAGGTGCCTCTCACTCCCTGCTCTCCGACCCCTCTTATCGCACCCACTATCGTCACACCCCCACCGCTGCCACGGCTCACTGCTTTCTCATCCGACACCCGAAGGAGTGAGTGAGACGAGACGGCACCGCACTGGACGCCTTTGGCATTCCAGCCCCTCACTTTTCACTGGTCTGTGTGCCTGCACGCACCTCTCTCCCTGTGCTCTGCTCCCCTCTCCCTGTGCACCATATGCCATGTGCAGGAGTCATTTTCTCCTCCAAGAGCCATCCCATTACGTCTCATTTGTCGGTGAGCTGCCCTTTCCCCCCTGCTCTCTCCTCCTCCTCTCCTCCCCTGCTCCTGCTCCCCCCCCGCCTTTCCGCTTCCGTCCCCTCCCCCCTTTCCCAATCCAACCAACTCCCACCAACGCACTGACGCCGATCTCCTGCCCCGTGTCTACGGCTGCCCCATCTCCTTCCATGCCCCCACCGGTAACGCTCTTTCTCGCCTGCTCTCTTGCTGTTGACACGTCACGTAACACTCCTGCCATGCTCTCCTGCCATGCTCTCCTGCCATGCTCTCCTGCCATGCTCTCCTGCCATGTTCCCCTGCCATGCTCTCCTGCCATGCTCCCCTGCCATGTTCCCCTGCCATGCTCTCCTGCCATGCTCCCCTGCCATGCTCCCCTACCTTGTGTGTGATCGATCGTGAAGGCGGAGCACGTGTGGCATGCGTCGCAGAAGCAGGGCGTGGTGGTGTTTGCGCTGCCCGGCGAGCGCTTTATCTGCGCACTCAAGGACGACTTCTGCATCACCTTCCATGACTCCTACGGGGACTTCTCATGGTCACTGCTCCTCTATCCCTATCCACTCGCCCTTCTCTTTCCATTTTCCACTGCACGCCCCACTGTCTTCTCGCCCTCGTCACACCCTCTCTCTCCTTCCATTCCCCTCTCCCCATCCCCCCGGACCCGCACCCTTGCTCCCCAACTGTACTGTTCTCTGTCTGTGCTTCTCATGCTCTCTGCCGTCCTCACCCGCTGCGCCAATTCACTCCCATCATGCCCCTTTCATTTGTTGATCAACTCCCTTACCCCCCCCTCCCCCCCCCCACTTCCCCCTTTTCCCATCATCCCACCTCTCCCACCGTCCCTCCAGCTGGCTGCACACCAGCTTCGTACAGCCACGCCACCTCCTCAAAACCTCCGATCTGGACGGATTCGATAAGGTCCGTTGCTCACTCTCGCTCCCTCCCCATCTCCTCCCCCCCCCCCCCCCCTTCTCCTCTCCCCCCTTCAACTCCGTCTGTCACCCTCTCAGCTTTCTTTCTTTGGTTTCGTTTACTCGTCTTTGCGCATGTCCGTCCGTTCCTACACCATTCAGTACTCTTGTCCCGCCTGTTCCTCCTCCCCCCCCACCTGCCCCTCCTTTCCACCTCTCCCCCCGTTCCGCATGGGTGCGTCCGTCCATCAGAGGCGGCTGGCGTCGCCAGGCTTCGTGGTGGAGCTGCTGCTGATGGTGGAGGCGGACATGGCGCACCTAGCCGCACACAGCGCCGCTGCTGCTGCTCACAGCACCGCTGCTGCTGCTGCTGCACACAGCACAGATGGCCGGGGCGCAGGTGGGGTTGGAGGAACACATGGGGGTGGGCGCATGGGCAATGAGGACAAGGAGAGGGAGGGGAGATCCAAGGAGGGCGGGGTGGAGGTAGGGAGTGTGGAAGGTGTTGATAGTAGAGGGGCGGAGGGGAGAACATTAGGGGATAGCGATGCTGGCAGCGATGGGTCAGGCCAGGTGGGAGAGCAAGAAGGGGAGGGGGGGAATCCAGCAGAGCAAGGAACGGTGGAGGGAGGTAGGGAGCAAGGTGGGTCATTCAGTGATGGTTCAAGGGGCACGGATGGCATTCACGCTGCTGCTGATGCTCCTGCAGGGTTGCTTGGTGCTGCTGCTGGCAGTTGCAGCAGCAGAGAGGGAGGACAGCAGACAACTGCTGGAGTTGGGGCAGACGCAGGGGATGGGGGAGAGTCAGGTGGAGAGAGGGTAAGGGGTTTACAGGGAGATGGAGCAGAGGCAGGGGCGAGTAGCAGGGGTGAGCCAAGTGCGGACATACAGCGCTCCAGCCAGAGCGGTAGCTCTTACGGAGAGGTGGCAGCAGCCAGTGAGGTGCAAGAGCTGAAGCTGCAACAGCAAGGGGGGCAGCAGTCAGGGGGATCCGAGCACAGCAGCGCTGCAGCTGGTGCTGGCACAGGTGGCAATAGAGCCATGGCCGCTGGTGCAGGGGGAGGAGGGGCTGGAAAAACACCTGCAGGTTCAGGTCCAGGAGCAGGAACGGCTGTAAGGGCAGTTGCAAGTACAGGTTCAGGAGCAGGTGCAGGGGCGGGAGGAGGGGCAGGAGGGGCAGGAGGGGCAGGAGGGGCAGGTGGGGCAGGAGGGGCAGGAGCAGGCGCAGGTAGAGCAGCAGGAGCAGGGGCAGGTGGTGCAGTGCCTGTGGGCAGTGTGGCGAGCGGGGCGGAGGAGGCGGCGGAGGTGATGGCAGCAGCGGCAGTGGAGGCGCTGGGCATGCTGGCCAGCGCCGTCAGCTGGTCCGTGAAGGAGGTCACGGGCGCCATTGCTGACGCCCGCACCAAGGCCGACCACCGCCATGCCACTGCTGCCGCTGCTGCTGCTGCTGCTGCCGCTGCTGCTGCTGCCGCTGCCACTGCTGCCGCTGATAGTGGTGGCGGTGGTGGTGGTGGTGCTGCTGCTGCTGCTGGCGATGGGGGAGGTGTGGAGGCAAGAGGGCGAGGGACCGTGGTAGGAGCAGGTGAGGCAAGGGCAGGTGCGGGTGGAGTGACGAGCAGCAGCACAGGGCAGCAGCGTGGGGACACCGAGCAGAGCGGTGACGGTAGCAGCAGGAGCGGAGAGGAGCCGTTGGCCATCACCATGAAACTGGACTTTATGAATGTGGACGAGGGGGATGATGATGATGATGATGGTGATGGTGATGGTGAGGGGGGGGAGGGAGGAAGCAGCAGCAGCAAGAGGCGGGAAACGCCGGTCTTCTCAGCAGCGTCGCCTGGCAGCATCGCTCCCAGGAGCTCCTTCAAAGATGCATTCAGTAAGCCATCTTACGCCTCTGTGAAGAAATTACGCCTCGCGTCATCCCTAGTCCTCTTGGCGTCTCCACTTCCGTAACAATGTTAGAGACCTTCATGAGACCCTCCACGTCCTCCTTCCTTCCGTTTCCCTCAATTCCTTCTCTCCCTTCCCTTCCATCCCCGTTCCAGGCTACTTGGAAGAACATTCATCAGCATCAGCAGCAGCAGCAAAGCCCCCTTTGCCACCATCAGGAGACACATCCAACCCCACATCCACCCCTCCAAGACCCTCCACTGCTGCATCTCCATCCCCTTTACCAGCCTCCTCAGTACCATCAGCAGCAGCATCTGCTGCCAAGCAGCCATCACCAGCATCATCCTCAGCAGCAATGCATGTGGTGGGGAGTGACTCCATCGAGGCACTGCCGTGCTTTGAAGCCAAGGCGGAGGCGCCCAAGACAGAGGAGTTCTTCTTTGGCCCATCCTCCGACTTTGCTCTCGCCGCTGCCAGTGCTGCTGACGCCTCGCTCTTCACTTTTGGTGATGACGAGGAGGAATGAATAGGCACGCTGCTGTGTTTGTGCCGGCTTATGTTCACATCTGAGGTGCCTCGGAGCATGTGTGCGCGTGTGTGTATGTTCGTGTGTTGGGTGGTTCTCGGTTAGGAGACCGTGTCGTTGTCTCTGATCTGGGATTAGAGGCGTGTTTCTCCGACCTCTTCCCAGGCTAGCCTCTCCCTAGACTTGCCCATGGCCTGAATATGCCGAGCCCAATTGCGTGCTGCACCACTCTGAACTGAACTGAACTGTTTCGCTTCAAAATTACTTGGCAATGCTGTGTGTTAGTCTGGGAAGAGGCCGTTAGTACATGGGCAAAGATCGCCCCTGTCTAGGGCAAAGCTCGCCCCTATCTAGGGCAAAGCTCGCCTCTGTCTAGGGCAAAGCTTTCTTAGAACTGAAGAATTGTTGAATAGAGAGAGAGTACAAGGGTATATACCTAAGAGTGTTGTACCCTCTAAGAGGCGACCCTATACAGTCTATACAAACATGAGTTATACTTATGTTTGACACACCCCCTAGACTGCATAGGGGAATGACCTGAACAAGCAGCTCAGGGCGGCACTCAGGGCCTCAGATATCAGGATGTTTTATCCTGAATTCCTGATTTTCAGGATGAGTATGAGGTGCCAGACCTGAAAAATCCGGTTAAATGAATTTCTGACCCTGTAAATTCAGAATGAATATCATATGACAACCCTGACAACTCAGTATAGTGTTCGTGTACCAGCCCTGAGTGCTCAGTATGAATTCGGGGATAACCCTGATACCTCGAATCTGGCTTCAGGGGGGGCGCTACGGGTGTACCCCCTGCTTACTGCCCATAGTTCCATAATTTTCGTGCCAGCGCACATTTTGCCTGTGGATTGCTGCCGCGAAATGACCAGTTTGGCGCGTGCACTGCAAATCCCGAAATTCTGGCCAATGGCGGCTAAGTATACAGCCAGTGCACCACGAGAAACGTGGCCTCAGAAGGTGTTGGCGTGCTGCGGTCCACTCGCTGAAGCAGCATTGCATGCAGGGATGTTTGGACGGCCAAGCACTCCATGTGGGGAGGACCAAACTCCCGCGTCTTGACAGAACAGCTCCCTTTCATGCCTTCCTCCGATGGTCCTTCCTCCCCACAGCTCCCTTTCATGCCTTGGTTGAACTTGAATCATCCAACCATTCTAGACGACAGAGCTTGTGCTCGTTGGTCTGTTTCTCTGCTGTGAACCGCCCCCTCGTTAGGGGGCACTATGCTCGCGTCAGGAACTGACGACGAGGAGGAGGCTCCCGACGATCCTTCTACAGCGTCCCACCCTGGTGCCGTGACAGGATTAGACTTACTGCGAAGAAATCCTCCTGCATCGGCACCTCCCCCTCGAACGCACACCGCAGAAGTAGTAGAGGAGGCATCTCGCCCTGCTGTAGCTACACCACCTCAGCGAAGCACTACGCCCCGCACGTCTTTGAATCAAGGGTCGACCCGTATTGGACCGCCGTCGAAGAAGCTCGAGCCCTCACGCTATCGGCAGGCAACCCTGAGTTTCGGGCGGTCGCAAAACACTCCTGCTCCGACTCTGCATGTCGTCCCTCCCGTTGTTTCAGGACCATCTGCAGCTCCGACTTCGTCATCGGACACCGAACTTGAAGACGTGGCCGAACGAAAGGACCAGGAGGCTCTCTGGCAATTTAAAAAGCGGTGGAGTACTGACTTTCCTTGGCTTGTGCTTAATCAGACCCGTGCAGGATTCCCGGCTTTGAAGTGTAAGATTTGCATGGAACATGGCGGGCCCGGAACAAACTACGGCAAGGGCGGAGGAGGTGCGACCGACGTCCAGACGCAAGCGATGCAGAACCACCAGCGCACGCGGAAGCACAAGAGAGCGATGCGGAGACAAGCCACCGCCACTGCGATCGCTGAGGGGCAGCTGCGCATGGAGGACTTGGCGAAAACACATACCGTCCAGCGCGAGCGTGTTACTGCACTGCTGGAGACTCTGCTTTTCATCTGTCAGTCCGACGCGCCCATCGAGATGTGGGTGCAACTCGTGCGGCACCTCTCGAAGCGACGTACTCCTGGTTTTCCCAAACGAGGCTACGGGTCTTACTTCACAACGTAAGTCCCTGGGTGTTTTATTCGTTTACTTTAATATGTCTTGATCTCTCGCATGTACTAATCTCCCTGCATGGTTTGCGCAGGTATGGCTTTCAGGAGTTAACCAAGTCGACAGCCATGTACCTTCGAGCTCGTCAACGGGAGTACTTGGAGTCAAGCCCGTTCATTGGCTTGAGCTGTGACGAGAGTACCGACAGAGTTCGTGGCAAACACATGATTGTGTTTGCTACGTTCCTTCGCGAGCGCGTCGTTGTCACAGAGTTTCTAACGCTTCTTCCTGTCGACAAATGTGATGCAGCTTCTCTGGAAGGCTCTCTTGTCGCTTACCTCGATAGCATCGGCATCAGTCTCTCGAAGGTGTCGGGCATCAGCACCGACGGTGCCGCTGTGATGGTTGGAGCCACGAACGGGGTCGTTGGGCGCCTTCGACAGCGGATCCCGCATGTGGTTTCTGTCCACTGCATAGCGCATCGGTTCGTTCATGCATAGACTTCATATCCCGTTTAGAAAACCGTGCACTAACCACTGTTTCGTCGTGTTTCTACTCCCGTCCATCCAGGGAAGCCCTCGCTGCCAGAGATGCTGCCAACGCGCTGCCTGAGCTGGGAATTGTGGATGCCATCATCCGCGCGGTTGCTGAGCTGCTGGGGCGTTCACACAACTGGCACAAGATGTTCAAGGAGCTCCAAAAGATCTTCACGGCGACAAATCTGGAGATGCAAGGGATTCACCTTGTTCGGTGGCTCAGTCGTGGCGGCGCCATTCTGAGGCTGGTGGCGGTGCTTCCTGCTGTCATCGTTCTACTGCACCTCTACGACAAACCCATGTACCACATCGTCACATCGTACAAGTTTCACATTTTCCTGTACTTCCTCGCCGACGTGCACGAGGAGCTCAACAGCCTCAATCTGCTGTTCCAGAAGCGCGAGGTGAGCCACTGCGGTTGCAATGGTTTCCAACCAATTCAAACAAAAAACATACTGCCGTCAATAAAAAAAATACTTACTGCCTCTTGTTCTTCTTTCATCCCACGACACCCTCCAACAGATCGACCTGACGGGCGTGCAGTCGCAGGTACGGCGAACGATCGTCTTCATTCGTTCGCGCTACGTCAACTGCGGGCCTAACTTCGGCACGAACAGCGATCGCCTGTCCAAGTTTCTGGAGCGCCACGCCAGCAGCCGAAATGTGATCGTGCAGGGCGTTGATGCAGACGGAGTGGAGCGAGTGCATCAATTCGAGCTTCACGAGGAGCCACTGCCAAACTACACCACTGCCCGCGGCGACAAAGCTTCCTGCACGCTCACCTGTCGCTCGTACGCGACCGAGCTCGTCTACAACGTGCAACTCCGGCTCGGCAACCTTGAGCGGCTCAATGGGTCAAAGCTGTGGATGCCCCGAACATGGCCGCGGAACACGGAGGCGAGGGACGAGGAGTGCGCCGAGCACTTTGACAGCGTGGTCGAGCTCTTCCACGCCAGCGACCGCGTTGAAATTCTGCCAGGTAAGGTGATCCATGCCAATGGATATTATATGCCCAACTTGCTGAAATATTGCAGTACATTGCTCTGGTTCCTGATGCCTCCACATCCCTGCGCTGATTTACGAGTGTTGCTGTTCCTGTATGTGTCTGGCAGGAGTCGACAAGCGGCTGGCACGCAAGGAACTCAACACCCTCGTGCCAGTGCTTGCTGGTGTGCCAAAAGAGGAGCAGCCATTCCATGCCGGACTTGCAGCCATCCTGGAGACCAGCGACTGGCCGCGCAGCTACCCGAATCTCGTGCGCCTGTGGGTGGCTGTGGCAGTGCTTCCTCTGAGCACTGTTGAGTGCGAGAGGGGATTCTCGCGACAAAATGTGATTAAGAGCTGGAACCGGACGAGTCTGTGCAACGGGAAGCTGGAGGATCTGATGTGCATGAGTTTGCTGGAGTATGACATGAACTGGGATAGGGTCATTGAGGTGTGGCGCGGCATGAAGAAGAGACGGCCAAGGAGGGCCCACCAGAGGGAAGTGCGTGCGAGGAAGTCTGACAAGGGCAAAGAGAAAGTGGTGGTGTTGTCCGAAGAGGAGCATGATGATGATGAGGCACGAGCGGACGATGAGAACAGCTGCTCCAGCAGCGGGTTTAGTTCTAGTGATGATGAGGATGGTGGAAATTTCTGAGTCAAGCCACATGTACGCTGTTGTACTGTGAATATTGATTGTCTCTGGTGTTATACTGCGATTAGTATAGTTAAAGCAACATTTTGGGCTGTTTTGAAGATTACCCTGAGGCTGCAGTTAAGTGCTGGATGCCAACCCTGACAAAACAGTATGAACATTGATGTCCAACCCTGACCAGTACACGTGGTTTCAAGGCCTAGCCCTGAGTAGACAGGATGCCCAAAATCCTAGCTGAGGCCCTTGCGGCACTACTAGTCCAACCTCTGAGACAAGGGTCTAAAAGACCAGTCAGACGGAGTTGAGACAAGGCAAGAACAAGACCAGGGCGGCACTACTAGTCCAGCCACTAGTAGAGGACACAAGTCCAGTCTGAGTATGCATATAAAGGACAGTACAAAGTCAAGGCCCTAGCAAGTGAGAGGCTACAGGAACTAGACCAAGCTGTACGCAGTGCCGCTGATGATCTTTAGGCGCAAGCGCCTTCGTAAAGATATCGGCTGTGTTGGCACCTGAGGCCAAGTGTACTACGCGAGCCTGGCGTCGTTGCTGTAGCTCGCGCAGGAGGAAGTATCGCAGCTGAATATGCTTCGCTCTGCCCTCGAGTCAGGGCACCTGACACAGGAGGATCATGGCCCTGTTGTCAGCGAACAGGACCGGGGCAGAGCTAGGCCGCTCACCTAAGTCAGTGAGCAAGAAGGTCAGCCAGCGGAGCTCCTGTGCCGCCATGGCACCAGCGTAGATCTCAGCCTCACAGCTGGACTGGGCAACAGACGAGGAGCGGGTAGCTCTCCACGAGACGGCACCTGAGCCAAGGCTGAAACAGTAGCCCTGGGTAGACCTGAGTGTCTCGGCATCGTCAGCCCACGAAGCGTCTGTGTGTCCAGTAAGGACCACTGGCCTGCGTCCTCCTAGCACTAACCCCATGCCCGATGTACTAGCAAGATAACGCAAAACCCTCTTAGCGGCAGACCAGTGCTGCGGTCGGTGTCTGCCTGTGGCCACAAAGCGAGCCAGGATGCTGAGAGGGTATGCGAGATCTGGGCGAGTGCAAGTCATCAGGTACATGAGGCAACCCACCAGCTCTGCGTAGGGGCCGCTGGGCTCTACCGACTCC